AAGTCATGCAGTGAGATAAGGGTGGCTCGAAACGCATGGCTAGTAGGGGAACTACTAGAAGTCATGCGGTGTGATAAGGGTGGCTAAAACACGGGATGCTATTTCGAAAAAAAACAATATTTTCTTTAAAATTTAATGTGAAGGCTCCCGCGCTGATATAAAGAAATAAAAGATTGTGAATTTATTTATGATTTGGGACTACGAGGCGGTACCTCGGGAGTGCCCTTTTGTTGATATTTCTCTATGGCTGTACTTGCCTTTGGTTATTTTGTTTTTTCGAAATTTGTAAATTCTTGTGTTTTCCGTGATGTATTATTTCACTTAATATTAAGTGTTTTGTATTTCCTGATGTATTGTGTTGACCTTGACTTTTTCGTACGAGACTTTAAGGATTTGTATTTTTGGGTTGTACTTGTTTTTGATGATTGAGTTGTTTTAAATAAAAGAAAAGAATTCTAGTATGTTTTAATTTAATAAATTTTATATCCAAATAAGTAGTTTATCTGATGTTTTATTTTAATTAAAATATTATTTTCTCCACCCAGATGATTTCTAAAATAAATACATTCCTTTGTTGATTTCTTACTTGATTTAAAGATTTCAACGTTACTTTATTAAAAATAAATTGATCCTACGGATCTTATATACATTGATATTTTGGTACGTGAGTTGTCCGTGCAGTTATAAAAATAATATGGGCATGATGTGCCGGGGAAAATATGATGATTTTATTATTGACACGTGAGTTGTCCGTGTGATGGTGATAGAAACATGGGCACGAGGTGCCGTGGAAAATATGAAAGTGGGCTGAGACCCGTAATTTTTATGATTGTGAAATGAGGTGTCACATGGTGACTTTTACTTGAAAATATATTTATTGGAAAGTATTATATCCTAAAGAATATTATTTGAAAAACATATAGGCGAAAGAATTTATATTTGAAGGACTTGATTAATTGGTTGTACTTGTGTTCCTTATTCGTCTGAGCAATAATTATGATGTTCTTGTTGCATTGTTGTTATATCACTGGTTGATTTTGTTGTTATCATTGCTAGTTATTTTCCAGTATTATTTTGTATACTAGATCGCACAGGTTATTAGACTAGTGAGTGTCTTGACTGTACCTCGTCTCTATTCCACTGAGGTTAGTCTTGATACTTACTGGGTACCGACCGTGGTATACTCATACTACACTTCTGCACATTATTGTGCAGAGCCAGGTAGTGGAGGTATCGGACCCGGACAGAGTTAGAGTGTGATCGCAAGGATTCAAGGTAGAGCTGCTTGGTCGTCGCAGTCCCTTGGAGTTTGTTCATTTCATTGTACTGTTAATTTTTAATCAAACAATATTGTATATTTCGTCCTCGTGATCATTCTATGTATTCAGTTAGAGTTCATAACTCAGTATTACCAATCTTGGGAGGTTGTTATATTCATTTTTGTTCCGCTGTTGGTTTTGACACTTGTATTGAATTAAAAAAAGGCTTGAATTATAATTTAAATCGGCTTACTTAGTCTTAGAGACTAAGTGCCATCACGATGCCTGTGGTGGGACTTTCGGTCTAGACAACAAAAATCTAAAAATTTATGCACATATATCATAATGAATCATCTAAACTTTAGTTAGAACAATTCTAAGTTAATAAGTACTCACTCTCTCCAATAAATAAATATTAACTCTTTTAAGCAATTCAGCAAACACCTTGTATGTGTGCTTTTGTGAGTTAAACAACTTTAGTAAATGGTTGTATCAACTCACCTCAAAACTTCTCGAGCCAATACGTAGGGCCCAGTCCAATTTATACCCGTCAAACAATCGATTTTACAATAATCAGTGCATTTTAATTAATTTTAAAGTTTCTCACCTAAACATGGAACTTACTGTTGATACAGAAATAAAAGGGAATTAGCTATTCAATTCTTACCTGCTACTACTGTAGGACAGTTAACAATAGGTAATTTTATATACATGAGTTCAAGAATTATTGATTTATAAAGAAACCTAGAACTTCCCGTTGCCTGCGTGTATATTAAGCAACAAGGCGGCCTCTGCTCTGACAATAGGGAATTTTATATACCTGAGTTCAAGAATTAGTGACAATAGGGAATTTTATATATAGGGAATTTTATAGGAAATTTTAAAATTGACAATAGGAAATTTTATATACCTGAGCTCAAGAATTAGTGATTTGTAAAGAAACCTAAAACTTCCCGTTGCCTGCGTGATTATTGAGCAGCAAGGCGGCCTCTGCTCTGTTTCGTAGCATTTTGTTTCTCTTTTTCGTATAAGGCTTTTTAGCCTTCTGCCTTTGCGTGAATGAACAGAACGTTAGTTTTGTATTGTTTAAGGCTTTAAGCCTTTTGCCTTCCCACTTTATGGGCTTTAGGCTTGTTTTTTTTTTCCTTCTAAACTTAACTAATAATTAATGCTACTTATTTTTAATAATTAGTAATATTAAAATTATTAATATTCCCTTACTTGTATACACATTATTTATAAATAGAGAAGTAACTCAAAAGTCAACCATAAGGGTTTAAATCCGTAATAGAAGTAAAAAATTTATGCACTCAAGGCAATATTAAAAAAAAAATTCTATATTTAGTGCGTCTTGAAACTTTTATAGATTTGAGGAGTGTTACACAAGTGAAGGCTGGTGGGATTAGGTTTTATTTAGCGTGAAAATTTTTATTTCAAAATATATGCAATATATATGGGACCAATCAGGTAAGATCCCAAAATATGGGCCCATTTTGGTGGTACGGATGGGTCAGGTGATATACTATGTAAATACAGTCAAACCTTTTTATAATAACCTCGTTTGGTTCGATATTTTTTTGGCTGCTATAGTGAGGTACTGTTATAAAGGACATATATTATAACATAACATAAAAATCGGTTCCGAAAAAATTTGACTTTTATAGTGAATGATTGTTATATAGAGATGTTGTTATAGAGATGTCTGACTATATGTCATATATAATATTTCCTCCTTTTAATTTATGTGAACTTATTTAAATGGTAACAAAAGTTTAAGAAATAATATACTAAAATTTTGGAACTAGTGGTCCAACAAAAATCACAAATATTAGTATGACTATAAATTATTTCAATAAGGATAAAATATGAAGTTTAAAGTTAAATTATTTTCAAATTTAGAAAGTGATTATTTTTTTTAAACGGACTAAAAAGAATAAATTCACGTAAATTGATAGGGAGAAAGTACTATTGGAAGGAATTGAACAGAAAATTGTTCGAACACTAAGTGAAGAATTCGACAGTTAAATTATGTACCAAACATCGGTCTGAGTTGTCGAATCGAAGAGAGCACTTTTTGTAACATACACACCCGAAATAGTGCTCGTGCAAAAATGCTTTTACACAAACCAATCAACCCATAAACAAAAAAAAATTCCTTTACTAATAAATTACTTGGGTCTAAGCTCCATACCTTCAACAATAAGCCCTCCTTTGAGGTGCTCACCTTTGACCTCTCTAAGGCACATTGTTACTTCTTTATCATTGACTCCATCACTATAAAATTCACCCAATTCAATCTCCAACCATCCATCTCCTCTGTCACATAAAGCACGCTCTGTCCCTCCTCTATTATCAACTCTTGATCTCAATGTCTCAGCCCTGTGTCTCATTAGAACCCTTTCCAATTCTTGTTTTCTACTGTTAGTATAGTTACGACGTATTAAAACAATTCCTTTGGATTCATGGTCTCCTCCTACTTTGACAGATATCTCAGATGGTAAGGAGTCTAAGCCGAAAGCACGACCAGCCAGGTTGACAATGAGGTAAGCTCCATATGTTGTACGCGGAGACAACATTCGAGTATTTATCTTTCCTTTAATTTCTAGCCAACATACCATTATAAGCTCCACACCTTCTGGAAATCTGTTGCAACGCATAAAATAGGATATATTTAATTAGGGTAGTTTTGAGGAGCTACCGAAAATTAAAGTCAAATTGTGAGATTATGTCCTTAATTTTCTAATAAATAACTAATATTTGGGATATAGTAGGCATTAATTAAGGACTGAAAGAAACAGGAAATTAAAGGAGAAGGGGACCTTGAGTGAAGAAGGGGTTTCCAGCACCAGTAGAGGGGATTGGTGGACCAAGCAATTGATAGCTCCCTTGCACTCAACATATAACACTTTTTACTTGATATTCTATCAATTGAAAAGGTCTGCAGTAATGTTATAGAAAGGAAAATGAGAAGATGCAAGAGTTCTTTGTCATCAATTTATCATTTGAGATTACTCGCTAATATTGTTGTCGAATAAATATCAATCTATTTGCTTTCTATGAATATGAGCGTGCGAGAAAGATTGTCTTCTTGGAAAAGAACCATCTCACTAGTCTTGTTAATTTACAGCAGGATTACAAAGCAAAGCACGTACATACCTTGCGACCACCATCGATGAGAAGAGGGCTAAAGAGCTTGAGAAACAACTCTTTCTTTGATGCAAAATTAATTGGTAACACTAATCTTGAGATGATTTGTCGATAATCAGATGGCAAGAATTTCTCCCACAACAAGTCTGATATGGCTGCATCACGAACCATAGTCGAGACCAACGACGCGTGACAAACATCATAAGGAGATGTGAAGGAGAGAAGTTGAACGATACAATCTTCCGGCAAGAGGTCGAGCTTCATTATCTCACTTTCATCTGCCATGACTGGGTATATAAGAATGTCAATGAGAAACTTAGAAATGACTCATATATGGAGAGGGAAATGCCAGAAACTAATGTACAAGTTTCCTAAGGATGACGACATGAATTTAACATATGAGGACATATGTTACATGGGCCCAATTTTATAATTCAACTTGTATACATAAGATTTGACCCCTTAAGTAAGATAACGTATAAGTTCTATGTACTGTACATGTTCAAAGAAGAGCAACGAGATTGTACATTAGACAGTAATATGTAGATGGACATGCCAATGTAAAGCTACCTTGTGTTTAATTGGTAAATGCATTTTGTTCTTTGCCTTGGTGTAGCTGCAAAGAGTCAATATTGCTAAGGCTAAGCTAGCTTTGATAAAAGATGAAATGTGTAGATGGGGTTTGCCAAGCCTGTAGGGAGTAACTATCATATGCATTTTATGCCAGCTCAATCTAAGCTGAAGTTTGGCCATAAATTCTCAAATTTGTTTTGAAAAATCTGATTTGGGTGAAATTTGGTTTGAAGATGAAATTGTGTTTGGACATTAGTTTTCAAAACATATTTCACTTTTTTTTTTTGAAAAAAATATGAAACATGACTTATACCCATAAGTTCTAAAAACAATCACAAATACCCAACAATACATTCATCAATAACATTCATTATCATTATCACAAACCATAGTCCTGAACATAAATAAATTTGATACAAAATTATCATTTTTATAATGAACTACATAATACACTATCAGGTGACCAAGAAGACGAAACAACATTGTTACAAAATAATAAATGACAGGCTCTTTTATAAAATACAAAAGTTTGAAGAAATTTTTAAAAAATATAATAGTAATATTTTGGGATTTGGGAATTTACCAAAATATGGATAATATTTATGAACAAATATGTATTTGCCAAAAACTATTTGGCAAATACTTAACAAAATCTATGGCCAAACGGATCCTAAATAGGGCACTGAAGCAATTTACATTTATCATCTATAAAATGTTTCAATTTATACTTCTTCTTTTTTTTATTTTTGCTTGAAATTTGGGCTGAGGTTGCTTGAATGAGTTAATCTAAATTTCGTAATAAACAATATGTAGAAATAATTTGACAACGATGTTGATAATGTAACAATAAATTAAAGTCTCTTGAAAAAACTTTTAGAGATCACTAGATAACGGTAATTTGAAAAAATTACTTACCTTAAAGGTTTCTTATTTAAACCTTAGCGAGTAGAGTTATTTAATATATTTACCGGCGAATATATATATATATATATATATATATATATATATATATATGTTAAGCTCGTGTAAAAGACTGGTTGAGTCAATTTGAGCTCAAACACAATTTGGTTCCTGAAATATACGAAGCAAGGAGTGAACAAAATTGCTTGACCGGAAATTAAAAAAGAAAAAGAAAAAGATTGAACAAAATTGTAGAGGTTATCTATAACAAACCAAACTTCAACATTTCACATCGATCCAAGTAGACCTCATTTTGGGATGTCCCGGAGATTAGGGGTGTACAAATGAAACGAACAAATCGCACCAATTCGATAATCCGAATCAAATCGAGAAAAAAAATTCGACTATGATTTGGTTTGGTGTTGGAAAGAAAAACCCGATCATATTTGGTTTGGTTTGGTTTTAACTAAAAAAAGTCAAACCGACACCAAACCAACCCGACATTATATGTATAGAAGTTTTAAATATATTTAATACGTAAAAATATATATGGTAGTGTAGTTTATAAATATTTCTTAAGTTTTTTCATAGTTTTATCTTTTAACGTATTATTTCAAGTTTGGACTTATAATTTTCGGATGCTCCAATAAGTTTTATAATCCATAAATGTTAGTAACTCAAATAAATCCTAAACCAAAATCAAATCAATACTAATGCTAATAAAAGACATTTAATTCAATTGTACTATGAATGAAAATAGTGTTGGATATCTATTTTTTTAGTTTTTTCATGGTTTAGATTAAATGTATAACTTATTTTTCTTTTAGTGGTTAGTCATGTAAATAATAGTACTTATTAGTCATAATTTTAAATTATGTTTGTTTTCATTATGGCTTATTAATAATATTTATTTTATGCGATTTTATTATCTTTATTGTTGAATATTTTAGTACAATGCCATGACTCATCTCATATTTATGTTATATTATTGAAAAACACCTTATATAGTTCTGTCTTAGTAGGATTAAAGAAATATTTGGAGCACAAATTTTACGTTTTGTGCTATGAAGATTTTAAGAAAATAAAAACCGAAAAAATCCGAAAACCCAAAAAAAATCGAGATTAAAAAATCTGACTTTTATTGGTTGGGTTTGGTATTTAGATTTAATAACCCGATACAATTGGTTTGGTTTGGTAATTAGAAAATCCGAACCAACCCGACCCATATTGTGATGACCCAAAATATCATCTTTAAATGTAATAAGTAATTCTATATTCTAAGACCAAGAAAAGTACCATTTATCATCCTCGACTTGCGTGCGTAGTTCGTACAATTTTTCGGAAAGTTGTTATGTAAAAAATAGATTAAAATGGGAAATAGAGCTTTAAAACTCAACTAAGTTGACTTTTGTCAACATTTTGAGCAAATGAACCCGGATCAATATTTTGAAAATTTTAGTAGGTCCGTATCGTGATTTGGGACTTGGGCGTATGCCCGGAATCGAATTTTGAGGTCCCTAACCCGAGATATGAAATTTTGATAAAAATTTAAATGTTTGAAAGCTTAATGATTTCTAAGAAATTACTGATGTTGGATTTATTGACCTCGGGTCCGTATTTTGGTTTTGGAGCCCGGTATATGTCCACTATAATATTTATGATTTGTCTGCCAAATTTGGTGAGAATCAGAGTTGATTTGACGTGATTCGGACGTTCGGTTGTAAAAATAAAGGTTTTAAAGTTTTCTTGAAAATTTCCTTTGATTTGGTGTCCGATTCATAGTTCTAGGAGTTAGTTTGGCGATTTGATCGAGCGAGCAAGTTCATATGATGTTTTAGGACTTGGGTGCATGTTTGGTTCGGAGCCCCGAGGGCTCGGGTGAGTTTCGGATGGGCTACGGGATGATTTCAGACTTAGAAAATCTGGTTTTCTGCAGACTTCAGGCTTCTGGTGTGTTTTTCTTCGCGTTGTCACTCGTTCACGAAGGCTTGAGGTTCAAAGCTTCGCGTTCGCCACCAAAGCCTCGCGTTGGCGAAGGGAAAGAGGCTGGCCAGGATTATTGCCTTTGCGTTCGCGAAGGGCATCTCGCGTTCGCGAAGGCCAAGCTAGGCAAGCTTCGCGTTCACGAAGTAGCCCTCGCGTTCGCGAAGTGTAAAATGGGACAACACAAATTTAAGCTTCGCGAACGCGAGGCACTGACCGCGTTCGCGAAGGGTAAAAGTCCCAGAAACAGAACTTAAGTTCTAAAAAATCGGATTCGTTCCATTTTCAACCCTTTTCCATTTTTGAGCTTAGGTAAGGCGAATTTTGAGCGATTTTCACGGAAAAATATTGGGGTAAGTGTTCCTTATCCTATACTGATTATATTTCATGATTTTATACTCATTTATATCATGAATCCGTGAATTTATGGAAGAAAAATCAGATTTTTATAAAATTTTCTAAAAACGAAAATTTAAGATTTGAAGGTCCATTTGACATTGGAATTGGATAATTTTTATATGGTTGGACTCGCCTCGGAATGGGTATTCATATTTCGTAAGTTTTTTTCGGGATTTAAAATCTGGGTCCCACTGTCGAATATTTTAATGAATTTTAGATTTTTATCCGAAAAATTTATAAATTCATATGGAATTAATTCCTATGATTCGTATTGAGTATATCGAATTTTTTGTGAATAGATTTGAAGCTTTTGGAGATAAATTTAAAAGAAAAAGTTGTGGTTGAGTAATTGGTTGGAATTTGCAAAGCGAGGTAAGTGTCGCGGTTAACCTTGACTTGAGGGAATAGAACCTTTAAATTATTTGTTATGTGAAAAGCATGTGAACGACGTATAGGCGAGGTGACGAGTGTTTATACGTCGTGAAATTAATTATTTGCCTGCTCACTTGAAAAATCATAAATTATTTTAAATCATAAATTAATTATTATAATAATT